CATTTGATGTAAATTACATATATTATCATTATTTGTAGGGGGCGGCGGTGTCCAGGCACACAGCTAATTAAAACAGTTAACCTAAAATGTGCCAGTTTTTGCATTTACTCACAAAGTCCAGCTAAGAAAGCTTTACTCCATACTATAAATACATAAAGATTTAGTGTTATGAAATATGATATTCTGATGAACCTATATATGTAACCATACTAAGTCTCTCCCGTATGTGTAAGTGTACAGAGATATATTTCGTAGATCAAGAACTGGCTGAAAGACGAAAACCACAAACAGTGTAAGTGGAGGCTAACAAGAAAGTTAAGAGAAGTATTGAGACGCGACAAGAGAAAATTGCGCAAAACAACATGTGTAGAGACCGCCACCGCCATAGCACCATACATTGTGATATTGTGATTACATGGAAAATACAATTTTCATTGGCCTACAACGTCCTAATTTCCTGTTACAATTGGTCTCAAAGAAATTTAAAATGATCGAAATACCTAGTTTTGATTCGAAAACCGAAATGTAACCATCGATAAAATTATGTAAAGCGCAGAGGTAAATGTACAAGCTATGATTGTGCCGAGATTGTGTTAGAGGAGACAGACCAGCTCAGTTGAATTATGGGAAGTTTGCAGAAGAGTCGAAAATGGTAGAGTAAAACCATGTGGTCACTTAGAAGATCCGAGTATCAACTGGTCTAGGGCTCAAATATGGCGGACCCAACACGATAGGAAGACCGCTTAACCCTGTAATGGTGTCTTCGCCTCTCACACGCCTCCACACGCGTCTGGTCGAATGGAGCCGAGATTTAATTACTGTGCCCCTGCAGGGATGTCGGTTGTTTAACATGAGAGGCAGGGCTGCTATTTCAGACAAAATTTTGCTTTATTGAATTGGACAAAAATCGGTTTAAACGTTTAGAAATATTATAGGGCTATAGCTGTGCGTCATTGAGATGAGTTCCCTTACCTCTATAATAGCTCCTTATATTCACATTTTATACTAATCTTTAAAAAAATGATCACCTGATGTGAAAACAGGAAAACGGCTCCTTTTTTACCTTGTATCCTACCAATTATGTGATTTCAACACGAAGTCTTTATTCAAATTAAAATCTAAAATGCATTAATTCATTTTTATATTGTCGTCATTAAGCGAGACAAAGACAAGAATAGCAATATTCCAAATGAACCCTTGACATTATTTTTTGTTACCTGCCTGCCAATAATCTGGTGAAAGATACAGTTCATTTGCACATTCTGTGTATATAGTCAATTTAAAATAATAGAGACTTATTCAGCTGTGTCTTTGGTCGCCTTAATTGCACATGCTAGTCACTTATAGCTGAGACACAAACCTCATATAGGATACTCGTGCCGCAGGCTTGCTTAGTGGGTATGGCTTATGTAAGAAAATTTCATGTTATTGGTATTTAAATAGTTAATCTATTTGGTTTTATTTTTGTAACCATAACCAAGCAGATTTATATGTCATAGAATGAATATTCCAACATTTAAAAATTTCCGCCCCAGGTTCTACATACATATGATTAATATGAGCATTTGAAGAAAGTTCCCTCTTAAGGCTTCATCACATCTAATTTCCTTCTTATTTTTTCAATTTCACGTTTTTCATACGCCACTTGCTTAAAATATGCTACATAGAGGTAGATGGTCCCTAGGAAAACCGTTCCTATGATTACTCCTAGTACAATTTCATGTACCACAGCGTTCTTCAGTTGTTGCAGAATATCGGAGTCTTCTTTGCTGTTGTCACGTCTTGGGGTACCATTCTGATTGTCACCTTGAAGGTAAAAAAGAGACTTAATAAAAACCATCGGATATTTTTACAACCCATTTTGAGATGCGTTAGAATAAAATAATCTTGAGCGTTAATCTGTTGTTAGCTAACTTGATTCTCAAAAGTTTTTCTATTCAAATAAATTTATGCATAAAGTTTATTTATTTATTTATTTATTTTTTTTTTTTGAATACACAAAGCAATTAGGATGTGTGCTAAACACCTTGTTTTGTAAGGTAAAAGACGAGATTAACCACACATAAAACAGTCTGAAAAGGCAAAATGATCGGCCAAGAGATCACAAAGGTACCTTTTAGGAAAAGGAATGGACCAGTGGTCGTAACTTGTGAGGCAAAGCGAGTAGTAAGACTCTCAAAGCGTGTTGAAGTTTGAGGTAATGTTCGTGCAAACCGTCCTGTGGTTGGAGATACTGTTCGTGTAAAGAATCTGGTAGTTGGGGGTACTGTTCGTGTAAAGAATCTTGTAGTTGGAGAAAATGTCCGTCCACGCAATACTACGAAAAATCTGTCAGACATTCCCTTTTCTCCTTTCATTCCAACGAACGGAAGGCCTTTGGCTCCCTGCATTCCCTTCTCTCCCGGATGTCCAACAGACCCTGGAAGTCCTTGCTGACCTGGATCCCCTGCCATGCCCTTCATCCCCTTCATGCCTTGCACTGAGTCACCTGGTGGCCCTTGGTTTCCCGGAAGCCCTATGAAACAAACATTCCAATTACAAATCAAATAATTACTTTAGAATACACATGGATTTCTCTCTTAAACGTGCTTTTGAAATTCACAGAAGGATGAGCATTGCAAAGTATTTCTGATAATTTCACAACAATAGAACACATTCGAAGAAAAAAGAAAATTGTACTAAATTAAGAAGATAACCGTACAATATTGCAAACTTAAAAGCATTTCAAAGTTAGTAAATATTTCCTCTAACCTTTTGGTCCGGCTGTGCCAGGTGGTCCTCCTGTCCCGGTTGGTCCAGGAGGCCCTATTAACCCTGGTGGACCAGCTGTTCCAGCAGGACCAACCATCCCTATAGGTCCACTTAGTCCTGGGGGTCCTCTTGTCCCTGGAGGTCCTGCTGCTCCTTGGGGACCAACTGTTCCTGGTGGTCCACTGGTGCCTTGTGGTCCACCAGTTCCTGGAAGACCACTTCTCCCGGGAGGACCACCTGTTCCATCAGGCCCGCGGGTTCCAGGTGGACCTCCAGTTCCCTGTGGTCCAATAGTTCCAGTAACACCCTTCAGTCCGGGTGGCCCACCAGTTCCTGTTGGCCCTGCTTCACCGTCAGGACCACCAGTGCCTGGGGGGCCATCACGGCCAACAGGTCCTGATGTACCTGGAGGACCCCCTGACCCAGGTGGTCCTGTTGGCCCTGGAGGTCCTCCCGTTCCTGGTGGTCCTTGCGTGCCAGGGGGACCTCCTGTGCCAGGAGGTCCTTCAGTTCCTGGAGGACCACCCGATCCTGATGGACCTCCTGTCCCGGGTGGACCTTCAGTTCCGGGAGGTCCATTTGAACCTGGTGGCCCGCTGGTCCCTGGTGGCCCACTGGTCCCTGGTGGCCCACTGGTCCAGTTCCCGGTGGCCCACTGCTTCCGGGCGGTCCCATGGTTCCTGGTGGGCCACCTGTACCTGGAGGGCCACCTGTTCCAGGAGGACCACTGGTTGCAGGAGGACCACCTGTTCCCGCTGGACCACTTGTTCCCTGTGAGCCCCCTGTGCCAGGAGGTCCTCCTGTCCCTGGTGGGCCTGCAGTACCAGGTGGACCCCCAGTTCCCGGAGGTCCACTGGTTCCTGGGGGTCCACTGGTTCCAGGGGGTCCGCCTGTCCCTGGTGGGCCCAGAGTACCTACAACTATGTTTATATTCATTCAGCATTTGGGTACAAACGAAATCATATCAACATTCAGTTAAGATGAACATTAAAATCATATATATTTTGTCATATTATAATTTAAAACACATATCAGAGAAAAAATAGTAAAGTCAACCTCACGTTCAGCATTCAACCAAAAGAGAGTAATATCGTCATATGTTCAGATAGGCAGAAACAAATCCAAAAATTGTTGCTTGTAAACAAATAACTACAAACAAATTATAATGTCGCAATGAAAATAACCATAAGACGACTGCACGTCCAATGTCATTACCAACTGGTAAAGCCCTGCAGAAAAATGGGAGTATAAATGTGCACGGGCGGGATGCCCAGTCATTTGGACTGAAGGTGCGATGAACGGCACAATTTCTTTCTACCCCACCACTTGGCTCGCCAGGAAACCACAGCGTATAATCAGCTGCAGTTCCATCAGTCCACACATAAGTGCCCTCTACGTCAGAGTCCGTGAAGCCTATCCAGGAATTGTTGGCGAATCTAAAAAATGAAATATGGATCAAATGAAGTATGCCCGCCGCTGTTTGCGGGTTTTATATGCATCTGGGTGTAAGTGACATGATACACTTTTAATGGTTCAAAATCGCACTCGCATAGCAGGGTGTGCATGCATCGACATTTCACTTTCTAAAATATCATTTTGTCTATGAATATACATGCACACGGTATTATCACACTTGCATCTTATATTGCTTTAATTTATACAACAGTGCGATTGACCCATTACCAATCATTTGATCAAAGCTGCCGGAACAACTTGCAACCACTCGATGGCACTTTAATAAGTTGATCCATGTTTTCTTTGACCCCCCCCCAAAAAAATTTATATATATATATATATATATATATATATATATATATATATATATATATATAGCACGTTATGTTAGTTCAACCCCTTCAAGGCTATGGTGATAACCAGCATATGGCTAACTTATCAACTCACAGTGGGCGTAAACCTTTTATGTTTTGTTGTTGAAAAATATAGAGAGAGGACAATGGGAACTAAGTTTGTTTTACGGAGGTCGTAATACCATCAGGATAGAAATCAATTTTGCAAACTATTTTCTTTTCTTTAAGATTTCGATTCATCATTTCAACCTCTCACTTTGGTCAGTTGAAACAGATTTTGTGAAAATAGTCTTTGATCACAACACAACGGGACATAAAATGAAAACAAACAAGTTAAACACCAGAAAGAAAATATACAAGTGTCTTGGACTGTTTTTCTATAACCTGAAAACAAAATGGGAAGTAATGATAAAATGTCGCACAAAAGTGTCATTGTACAGACATTTTAGCAGTATAAGCAGCTCTATTTTCTTAAAAGAAAAACCATTTCAACAATTTTTTCTTTTCTAAACATGCACAGGACTTAAATTGGCACTGTTTTGGGCCTTGACGTAGCTTATTATGAAATTAAGAATAGAGAGTCTTCAC